CCCCCCCCCCCTAGTCATTCCTTCATTATTAACCATTTTTATAGCCATCCTAAATACATAATGTTTTTGCAAAATGAATTAAATGGGTTTGTTTGTTTAACATTGTGCAATAGAGGATTAACCAACTGGAAATGATGTTCTAGGTTTTGGAAGGGGATGTACGGCCGTGCAGAGAAAAGTGTGGCTTCACACCAGTCTCCAGCCGATTGCCTGAACGTGGTGAGGGAGGAGTCACAACAATTGGAGGAGGAGCTTAGCACCCACCAGGAGGTACCACGGGAGACGGACGCTGGACAAGGCATACACACGCATGCATAAATATCACATATTTATCATCAAGCATTTTAAAATGCATCCACAATTAGAGTTCATTCCCACACATTACAAGTATACTATGCAGAATGTTAGTGTTCCATTTCAATAGGGTGACCATACGTCCTCTTTTTCCTTCTCATCTAAGTTGCCTAAAATGTCCAGGTTTTGGCTTTGATTTTCTATTGCTTTCATACTTGCTAAAGGTAATGACTTTAGCTAATAGCTTGCAGGGATTGTACATAATCGACTAATCATTGTGTGCGATAAGGTGGGATCTACACAGAACGGTCAAAGCAGTGCAAATATGTGTACATAAAATGTATGACTGTAGAGAGACTGTCGATAGGAAAACAAAGCCAAAACCCAGACATTTTAGGGACATGACCAGGAAAACCAGGATGTGTGGTCACCCTAATTTCAAACATTAGCCCAAGAGAATTGAATTTGTTCCTTCTTTTTGCTGCACTAATGTAAAACTCACCAACCTTGTCCTCTTCAAACTGACCTCTACAGAGACTTGCCCAGCTGAAGGAGAAGAAAACTTCAGGGGGGAGGAAGAAGACCAACAAGCTGTCTGAACGTGTCCGCCGTCCAATTCCAACCGAGAGCAAACCCAGCAGCCCTCTAGACTACTTCACCACCACAAGAAGCGAGAAACACACTCCTTCCTTCACACTGCCACTAGAGTTAGCAGCCCCACCCAAGAACGGTGACCCTGATGACCTTTCAACCTGCAGTGATTTCGAGTCAGGCGTGGCTGACCTCAGCAGCCACTCCTCTAGTGCTGGAGACGACGCTAAGGACCCCGATTCAGATGAGGCGGTCAAAACAAACGCCTGAACTAAAACTGGTGG